CTCCAATGTAAGAACAGTTCATTTGTATATCATAGACCTGCTCAATACTTGCACTCAGGAAGGGAACACAGAAAAGTGTGATGAAGAAATTAGATGGTGCCCAGCGATCAGATAAAATAGCATCTGGAGTCTTAAAGGCTTGTTTCCAAACAAGCAGCCATCTAAGTAAGATGTCAAAGCTTTGATTGCAATATTGAAGGATTTTATGAGCCAAATATTCAAAGAAGATGAAATGAATACACAGAGCCACTGTACCAAAAAGAATTGGTTAACATGCAACAATTTCAGAAAGTAGTATTCAATCAAGTACTGCTAGCATAAAAGAGCAAGAAAGGTATTGTGTTAATGGTACTGATAATTTAAAAAAAGAAGGCTCCAGGAATTGATGAAATAACAATTGAGATGTTTTAACAAACATGAAATCCTGGGAGTATCCACTCGTGTCTGCCCAGACATTTGAGAAACAGTTATCTGGCCAACCAACAGGAGGAGATCTGTCTTTTGGCCTACTCCAAAGAAAGGTGATCCATAGAATGTAGATATTAAAAGCAATATGACTTCTTACAATGACTTCTTCAGTACTTTAGACATGTTATCACATGGGACCAATTCCTACAGAAAAATACTGTGCTTGATAAAATAGAGAGTGAATAGAAGGAGACTGCACAGCTCTTTTTGACATATTCAAGCCATTGAATTGTATGAGAATTATTTGTCAATAGAGCTGTGAAAGATAACTAAATGTATTAATATGTGTACAGACTTTATACAATGCCTAATAAATGTAGGTATGACATATATATGGTTGTTAAAGGAAACAAAATGAAGTAACCAATTCTGTAAACCCAGAAAAACCTATATATTTAAAAATAAAGAAATAAAATCAACAAGAAAAGAAAAAAAGGAAGACCCTCAACAAGAGGGATTAATGCAGTGTCTGTAACACTGAGCCGGAATACAGCAATGACTGTGAGAATGGCTCAAAACGGGGCATTATTTCTTTCTGCTGACATAATTTACTCTGAGTCAGAACCAGGGCAACAGACAGCATCATTAATATTAAACAGAAATAAAATTTCCTGAAAATTTTACAGTTACAGCACAGTTACAACAATCCATAAGACAGAGAACTTCCCAAAAGACAAATTGGATTCAGAAGAGGACGTGCAATGAGGGATATCATGTTAGATGTTAGATGAATCTTCGCTACAACCAGAAAATGCAAGAAAAACATTAACCCATCTTTTATTGACTATGGGCAGGCATTCAACCATGGGGCCCATACAAGTATGGCAAAGATTGGATATTCTAGAACACTAAACTCACTCATGTGAAACCTGTACATAGAACAAGAGGCAATCATTGGAACAGAACAGGTAAAGTGTGCATCAAGATTATATCTTTTCACCACTGAGTAAATATGCTGAGCAAATAATCCAAGAAGCTGGACTCTGAGAACAATGTGGTCTCAGAATTTGTGGAAGATCCAGAAAAAAACTTCTGACATGAAGCTGACACAATCTTACGTCCTGAAATTTGCCAGAATTTGAAGCACTTACTGATGATGATAAAAACTGCAGCCTCTACTCAAGTACTCCCTCAATGCAAGAACACTTAACTTTGTTCCATTAAACTGGCATTCCATGATGATCACCTTCCCGACATGATCGCTGAAGACAAAGCAGATGCATAAGCAAATGTGGTGAAGAAAGCTGATGGTTCCCAGCTATCAAAAGATATAGCATCTGGGGTCTTAAAGGCTTGAAGATAAACAAGTGGCCATCTAGCTGAGAAGCTACAAAGCCCACATGGAAGAAGCACACCAGTCTGTGTGATCATGAGGTATTGATAGGATCAGGTATCAAGCATCAAAGAACAAAAAATCATATCATTGTGAATGAGGGGGAGTTCAAAGTGGGGACCCAAAGCCCATGTGTAGGCAACTGGACATCCCCTTACAGAAGGGTCACAGGGAGGAGATGAGCCGGTCAAGGTGCAGTATAGCACAGATGAAACATATAACTTTCCTCCAGTTCTTTAATGCCCGCCCCCCACCGCCCCACTATCATGATCCCAATTCTACCTTACAAATCCAGCTAGACCAGAGGATGTATACTGGTACAGATAAGAACTAGAAACACAGGGAATTCAGGACAGATAAACCCCTCAGGACCAATAATGAGAGTAGCGATACCAGGAGGGTAAGGGGAAGGTGGGAGAAAGGGGGAACCGATCACAATTATCTACATATAGCCTTCTCCCTGGGGGATGGACAACAGAAAAGTGGGTGAAGGGAGACATCAGACAGTGTAAGGCATGAAAAAATAATAATAATTTATAAATTGTCAAGGGTTCATGAGAGAGGGAGGGGAAAAATGAGGAGCTGATATCAAGGGCTCAAGTACAAAGAAAATGTTTTGAGAATGATGATGGCAACAAATGTGCAAATGTGCTTGACACAATGGATGTATGTATAGATTGTGATAAGAGTTGTACGAGTCCCCAATAGAATGATTTAAAAAGGAAAAAAAAAAAACCTGCAGCTTTCAGTGGAGATCACACTTCAAGATAAAGAAAACCAAGGTTCTAATAACTGCATCGATAAGCAAGGTCATAACAAACACAGATAAGTTTGAAGTTGTCATGAATTTCATTTTGCTTGGATCCACAATCAAGGCCCACAAAAGCAGCCTTCAAGAAACCAAACAGTGAATTGCACTGGGAAAATCTACTACAAAAGACCTCTTGCAATTGTTAAAGAAACAAGGGTGTCTCTTCAGGACTGAGATGTGCCTCTCCTAAGTCGTGTTGTGTTCAATTGCCTCATATGTATAGAAAAGCTGGACCATGGATAACAAAGAGCAAAAAGAATTGACGCATTTGAGTTACAGTACCTGCAAAGAATAATGAAATTGCCATATTCTGCTAGAAGAATAAACGAAGCTGTCTTAAAGGAATGCGGCCAGAATCCCTTCGAAGCGAGGCTAGAAAGACTACATCTTACGTACTTTGGGCAGGTTCTTTGGAGATACCAGTCCCTGGAGAAGAAGAACATTGTGCCCTAGGAAAGCAAAGAGTGAGTGAAAGAGACCCTGAAAGAGATCCATTGACACTGCGGCTGCAACAATGGGCTCCAAAGTAAGAACCCTTGTAAAGACAAGGCAGTAATGGGAAGCATTTCATCCGATTGCACTTGTACATAGAATGGCTGTGAGTTGGAATTAGCTGGATGACATCTACCAACAATACTACAACAACAAAACAGGGCTACATCACGCCCTTCATGGAATGAACAACATGCATGAAAGAACAGATTGCCTGGCTCTGAATCAAATCCTGACTCTCTGCTTCCTTTCTGAGACTCAACTTCATAACCCGTAAAGCAAGAATCTTGTGAACAGTAAGCTTGGTGAATTATATCAAGTGAGCCTAGTACAGTCTTTGACATAGAGGAAACTTTCACAACATCTAACCATCATGGGGCAGTATTAAAGCACCTGAAGTTTTCATTGCCAAGTTTCTTAAAGCAGCTTAACCAGCTTTGTCTTTGATCTGAGAGCTGCTTGAACACCGTGTCTGGTCTCTTCTATCTTCACAGTGTTGTCTTGTTGTTCATTGCTTTGAAGCCGATTCCAAATCATGCCATCCCGTGTTTGCAAACTAAAACTGTTTAGAATGGTAATGAAAACAGATCAGCCAATCTTTTCTTATTGGTTCTGCGATGTGGATTCTAAACTGGCAAAGTAGTTTTTTTTTAATCATTTTATTGGGGGCTCGTACAACTCTTATCACAATCCATACATACATCCATTGTGTCAAACACATTTGAACATTTGTTGCCATCATCATTCTAAAAACGTTTTCTTTCTACTTGAGCCCTTGGTACCAGCTCCTCATTTTTCCCCTCCCTCTCTCAAGAACCCTTGATAATTTATAAATTATTATTATTTTTTCATGTCTTACACTGTTTGATGTCTCCCTTCACCCACTTTTCTGTTGTCCATCCCCTAGGGAGGGGGCTATCTGTCAATCTTTGTGATCAGAACCCCCTTTTTTCCCCCACCTTCCCCTTCCCCTCCTGCTATTGCTACTCTCATTATTGGTCCTGAGGGGTTTATCAGTCCTGAATTCCCTGTGTTTTCAGCTCTTCTCTGTACCAGTTTACATCTTCTGGTCTAGCTGGATTTGTAAAGTAGAATTAGGATCATGATAGTGGGGAGGAGGAAGCATTAAAGAACTAGAGGAAAGTTGTATGTTTCATCTATACTATACTGCACCTTGACTGGCTCCTCTCCTCCCCGAGACCTTTCTGTAAGGGGATGTCCAGTTGCCTATAGATGGGCTTTGGGTCACCAATCCGTACTCTCTCTCATTCACAATGATATGATTTTTTGTTCTTTGATGCCTGATACCTGATCCTATTGACACCTGTGATCACACAGGTTGATGTGCTTCTTCCATGTGGGCTTTGTTCCTTCTCAGCTAGATGGCCGCTTGTTTATCTTCAAGCCTTTAAGACCACAAATGCTGTATCTTTTGATATCCAGGCACCATCAGCTTTCTTCACCACATTGCTTATGCACCCATTTGTCTTCAGTGAGCATCATCGGTGCCAGTCTAACTGGCAACATTTATGGTAACAGATGAACATGCAAACCTTTGCCCAGAGATCAATCTTCACAATTGCCATCAATTCTAACTGACAGGTCAGAACTGACTCCAAAGGGTTACTAGGCTGTGGCCTTTACTTATGCCATATGTAGGCCAAGCAAAAAATCCAAGAAACTGGACTAATCCAGGGAGCAAATCACCAGGTCTTTTCTCTGAGAAGGTGGCTCAAGGATTTGAACCATCAACTTTGTAGTTAGCAGTCTAGCAATTTAACTATTGGACCACCAGGGCTCCTTACACTCACAATAGAAAACAGAACAGGAAAACAAAAAATTCTCCACACTAACACGATTCAAGAGAACGTCATGAGCTGTGTGCCGGTGACTTACAGGAGATTGGCCACCACCGCACAGCCGGAGACCACGCTCATCACGGTTGCTTGGATCTGGTAATCCGGGTGCAGCAGGCGCTCTGAGGCCAGGTACACCAACACACCTGTCACCACCCAGATGCTGAGGATGGAGAGCAGGGCACCAAGGATTTCTGGGGAGTCAAACATAAAAGACATCCACATTTTCCTGATTCACAGATCATCCCAATCTCCCCAAGACCCATAAGACACTGATTCCTCCACACCCACCCTCCCCCAAAAAGCTTCAAATGAATTCATTTAGTGATTCACAAAGCAAATGTGTGAATGGGTTCTGGACTAAAATGAGAAAATGAGGTACTTTAATGCTGCATTCTTAAAACTCCAGCGTCTGAGTTCATTAAGCTGCAGATCACTAAGTGTTTTCCAGCAAATTTTCAAAGCATATTAATTGCTGCCTGCCCTCACTATTTTCCTGAGAGATTTTAAATTTAAACAGGTGTTAAAATGATGGAAACTTATTAGGAGATGAAATAATGAGGCACAAAGAGTAAAATGTGTTTAGAAACACTTAATTTCGCCATAAAACATTTACAGCTTGCCAGCACCAGTACCTTTAGTAATGTAAAACAGCAAAAAGAGAAGGCTTCTCTGAGGGTGCATGATGAAAATGAGCTTCACTTGCCAATACAACATATTACAAACTCAGAGGCACGTGTAGAGACTTAGCAACATTCTGAGTGTATTTTAAAGTAATGGTTAGGAAAAGAAGCCTCAAAATCATAGCATCATCATCAATCTTTACAGCTAGGGGACTATTCCACCTGCCCATAAAGTACAGCCGTTGTGTTATTGTTGGGCCCCATTTAGTCGGTTCCACCTCATAGGAAGTGACCCAATGTACGACAAAGGAAACACTGCCCAATCCCATTGGCATCTTGACAATCGCTGATGTGTTTGACCCTATTGTTGCAGCTGCTGCGTCAATCCATCATATTAAGGGCCTTCCTCTTTTTACTTGACCCTTCACGTTACCAAGCATGATGTTCTCCTTCAGGGATTCGTATCTTCTGATAACGTGTTCAGCATGTGGGAAGTGAAGTATCGCCATCCACCCTTCTAAGGAGCCTTCTGTCTGTACTTCTTCCAGGACACATTTGTTTCTCCTTCTGGCAGTTCATAATAATTTCAACACCATAATTCAAATATGTCATTCAACCCCATAATTCACCAGCACCGTAATTCAAATGGGTCAATTCTTCTTTGGTCTTCCTGATTCAGGGGCCAGCTTTTCCAGGCCTATGAGGTGATTGAAACATACTATGGTTTGAGTCACACACCTTATCCTCAAAGTGCCCTATTTTGCAGCAGATGTTTCCAGTACAGTTCATCATTTGATTCCTTGAAAGTTGCTTCTATGAGTGTTGATAGAAGATGCAAGTAAAATGAATCCTTAACAATTTCAATATTTTCTTAATTGTTGTTTATTGGTCCAGTTGTGAGAATTTTTGTAATCTTTATGTTGAGATGTAATCTAAAGGCTGTAGAGTACAATGGATCTTGAATTGTAGAACCTAATGTGGGTTCTTAAAGCCCACAGATGTCTAAAACATTCTGTGAATCAGCAACCAGCCACATTCAATAATACATTAATCCTATATACTACTCCCCTTTAAAGACAAGTAATTTAACATATTGTTTTACTACGTGTAATTATTATTTCCCAGACTTCAGTTGTTCACATACAAACTTCATGGTTTTTATCATACACACATGCCAAGTGCCTTGTTGGAGGTCGTAGGTGCTGTCTGATAGGTTCCTACTCATAGGACCCCTGTGCACAGCATGAGGAAGCATGGTCCTCTCTGGTGCCGTACTCATAGCCATTACTATGTTTGAACCCATTGTTGCAGCCGTTGTGTCAACCCACCTGTGAGAGTTAGGTTTATTGTGCCAACCTGGCCCATAGGAACAGGTCAGATTAATCAGGTTGCAGTTTGATTGGAGGACAAAGAGATAAATGGCTCTTCAAGACCTGCCCCCTTTCCTCTTACTCTCTGGTGATCAGAGTATGCTGGAGCATGCTGCTGCTTTAGCTAGTCCCCTGCCTCAACCTGTGAGCTACACCACCTGTGGGCCAAGCCAACCAATGGATTATGTTGCTAGAGTGTGAGGCTCCTTCGCGACCTGTTTTGCCATGCTGCTGGTGCATACATTGTTTGAGATTGAGGCTGGTGGATCCTGTCGCCTTGCATTGCTTGGGTTCGGTATCCCATCCAGGCCTGCT